CACAATAGTGCTCAGCACCACAGTAGTGCTCAGCACGACGGTAGTGACCAGAGTCACTTGGACCGGAACCTTTAGACCGGAGTCCTTTGGACCAGAGTCCTTTGGACCGGAGCCCTTTGGACCAGAGTCCTTTCGACCAGATTCTTTTCGACCGGAGTCCTTTCGACCGGAGTCCTTTCGACCGGAGTCCTTTCGACCGGAGTCCTTTCGACTGGAGTCCCTGAGCTCACGGAAGTGAGCTCAATTCCCTCAACTCGCTTCCTTAAGCTCACTTCCCTCAGCTCGCTTCCTTAAGCTCACTTCCCTCAGCTTATATAAGTGAGCTCACTTCCCTGAGCTCACTTCCTTAAGCTCACTTCCTTAAGCTCACTTCCCTCAGCTCCCTTCCCTCAGCTCATATAAGCGAGCTCACTTCCCTGAGCCCACTGAAGTGAGCTCACTTCCTGATCTCACGCAATTGAGCTCACTTCCCTGAGCTCACTTCCCTCAGGGCGTGGTGCTTACAGTTCCGGTTCTCGGAAATCCGGAACTGACACCAGAACAGGGTGTGGAAGGGTCGGTGCAGGGCGCTCCTTCTCCGCCCCTCAGCTGCACTCGCGGCTGCACCACGTGCTCCCATGCTGATGCCCTTCCCCCAGCCGCACTCCCCCCAACCGCACTCCCTCCAACTGCACTCCCTCCAACAGCACTCCCTTCAGCCGCACTCCCTCCAGCAGCACTCCCAGCAGCCGCACCCGCAAGCCTTCAGCGCGAGGGGGAGTGCAGTGGTCAGCAGGGCATGTAGGGGGCAGTCACACTGCTGTGGCTGCCTGCCGTGCGTCATCCCACTGCCCTCCCACTCCAGCTCTGCAGCGCACACCCCCTTGGGCCTGGTGCAAGGGAATGGTGCGGGGAGAAAAGTACTTGGGGAGGGAGACGCAGAAAGTTCGATCAAGGCATGCCAAGCCAAAGAAACGTGCGAGAACAAGCAAAAGATACGTGCACGAAAAGTGAACGACTCAAAGCAAGACCCTGTTTGGTGGCGGCGGCCATGAGAGGGGGACTGAGAAAAGAAAGTGGAGGTGTGAGAGGAGAGAGAGGGACGCGCGCATGGGAATGAATGCTAAACTAACCGCCTAGACCATGCAAGCGACCGCCAAGCGCCATGGGCTGCTACGCCCTCACTTCACCACTCACCTCCAACCCCCTGTCCACCTCTCAGCGCCCCACGCAGCACTGCCATAAGCCAATGAATCAAATAGATTTGCATAATAAACATCAAGAGGAGAAGGGTAAGAGCACTTAGCCGTTTAGGTAGGTATTCGGAGCGGATGCAGCAGCAGCGCAACCACCACCAGCAGTAACAGCAGCACAAGGTGGACGCAGCAGCGACACCTCAGCTTGAGGGCAGCTGGATACGTACCGTCAGCTCGTGAAGGGAGCGCTGTGGTCAGCAGAGCATGCGCAGGGCAATCAGTGGCATACAGCACTGCCTCCAGTTGCAGGGTAGCCAGAGCCCCGTGACTGCATGCCGTGCGTCATCCCACTGCCGCCCTCCCTGCTGCCTCCACTTGCGGCTGCTGCATGGGAGGGGCAGAGGGGTGGAAGGGGGGGTGGATTGGTGGGGGAAGGCGAAGGGGCAAGTGAAAGCGAGCAGGAGAGGGAGAGAGTGAGACAAAAGACAAAATAACTACGAAGCGATAACTAACACAAAGAAAAACAGTAAGCAAGCGATTAAGCAAGTGAGAAGAAGTAAACACGAAACGAAGGAGCGGGAGTGAATGTCCTGGTATCAGCCGGGTTGTTGGTGTTGGGTTGGCAGTCTTGCAGCGTCGGTGTTGGCGGGTTGCAGTGTGAGGAGCGGATGGGCGAGTGGGTGTGTTGGGAGCTGCAGGTCCCACCAGGGACCATACCACACCTCGCAGCCACCATGCTCACATCATGGCGCTTGCCTCTATCACCTGAGGAGGGTCCCGAGGTGAGAGCACTGGCAGGCAAAGGAGGAGGAGGGACAGATGAGAGGAGGAGGAGAGTGGGAGGGGTGTGGAAGCGTCAGTGGAGAGCGCTCCTCCACCCCTTGCGTGCTCTCCGCCCCTCAGCTGCCCTCGTGGCTGCACCACTCCCAGCAGCACCACTCCCAGCAGCACCACTCCCAGCAGCAGCATGCGTGGGATGGGGAGTGGCATGGGGGTAGTGGCACGGGGGGTAGTGGCACGGGGGGAAGTGGCACGGGGGGTAGTGGCACTGGGGTAGTGGCACTGGGGTAGTGGCACTGGGGTAGTAGCACGGGTGTAGTGGCACGGAGGTAGTGGCACGGCGGGTAGTGACACGGGGGGTAGTGGCATGGGAGGTAGTGGCACGGGGGTAGTGGCACGGGGAGCAGTGGCACCGGGGGTAGTGGCACGGGGGTAGAGGCAGGAAGGGTAGTGGCACTGGGGGTAGTGCCACGGGGGGTAGTGGCACGGGGGGGAAGTGGCACAGGGGGTAGTGGCATGTGGGGTAGTGGCACAGGGGCTAGTGGCACGGGGGTAGTAGCATGGGGGTAGTGACACGGCTGGTAGTGGCACGAGGGGTAGTGGCACGGGGAGTAGTGGCACGGGGAGTAGTGGCACGGGGGGTAGTGGCACGGGGGTAGTGGCATGGGCGTAGTGGCATGGGGGTTGTGGCACGGGGGGTAGTGGCACGGGGGTAGTGGCAGGGGGGTTAGTGGCACGGGGGGTAGTGGCACGGGGTGTAGTGGCACGGGTGGTGGTGGCACGGGGGGTAGTGGCATGGGGGGTAGTGGAGCCCTGAGCCCACTTTAGTGAGCTCACTTTCCTGAGCTCATTTACCTGAGCTCACTTCCCTGAGCTCACTTCCCTCAGCTCACTTCCCTCAGCTCACGTTAGTGAGCACCCTTCCCTTAGCTCCTAGTGAGCTCCTTCCCTCAGTTCACTTCCCTGGGCTCAACCCAAGTGAGCTCCCTTTCCTGAGCTCACTAAAATGAGCTCAGGGAAGTGAGCTCAGGGATTGCAAGAATGATTGACTATGATTGAATATGTTTGAAAAGTATGACAAGAAGACAGTATGCCAAGGCAGAGCCAACACACCTTGTGCCCATAGCAACAGCGCCTGCCAGTACTGCCCCCTCCTTGCTGCAACTCCCGCCACTGCTGCTGATGCCTGGAAAGGGAGGAAGGTAGAAAAAGGAGGGGGAGTGTTCTGGGTGTGAGGGATTGACAGGAGAGAACAGAGAGAAGGGCAGAGCTGTGGACTGAGGAGAGCGGGGGTAATGGAAGGGAGGCAGAGCAAGGGGGAGCTTCGTCCTCACCTGAAGAGAAGCGCGCCCCCTTCTTGCTTCTCCCGCCCGCCCATCCCTGCTGCAGCAGCTCCTGCTTCCCACGAGTGCTGCCGATGCCTGAGGGGGGGACAAGGGCCAAGCAGGGAGGATGTCAACGGGAAGAGCCAGAGGAGAGAAAAGCAACGCCGAGCAGAAGAAAACGGAGACGGCAGGAAGCGCAAAAGGGACGACGAGACGACTCCAGCCTTACCAGCCTTGGAGCGTTGTGAGGCGAGGGGGAAGGGGAGGGAAAGGGTGAGGTGCTTAGCAGCCTTGGAGCGTTGTGAGGCGAGGGGGAAGGGGAGGGAAAGGGTGAGGTGCTTAGCAGCCTTGGAGCGTTGTGAGGCGAGGGGGAAGGGGAGGGAAAGGGTGAGGTGCTTAGCAGTCTTGGAGACGTCTCCTGCCTTACCAGGCTTGGAGCGTTGTGAGCGTTATGAAAGCGAATAAGCAGACGAGCAAAAGCGACAGGAATTTTAAAAAGGCCGAGGAGAAGGGGAGGGAATGGGTGAGGTGCATGTCTTACCAGGCTTGGAGTGTCCGCGCCTCCTCTTCTGCTCTGACCGGTCTGGGTACCTGAGGTCAAACCTACAGAAGAAGCTCCAAGCACTAAAAGCCACCACCGCCACCAGCACTGCTACTAAAAATCAAGAGTTACAACACGAAATTCCTTCAACCCATTGCTGTTGCTCACTCCTACTACAGAAAATTTATTCCCTTTTCCGTTAGTTCTTCCACTATGCAAGCACTCTTGAAGTTTGGCTAGAGAACCTGTGGTTAGGTGCGGCCCTGTGATTAGAGAGTGCTAGAGTACCTGTGGTTAAGCGCGGCCCTGTGATTAGAGAGTGCTAGAGTACCTGTGGTTTGGCGCGGCCCTGTGATTAGAAAGTGGTGTGGAGGATGGGGGTGCGGATAATGCCGGTGTGGCTGTCCGAGTCTGTGCTCTGTGCTGTCCGTGCTGTCCGTGCTGTCTGTGCCGTCTGTGCTGTCTGTGGGTGCGAAGGTGGACAGGCGGGCTTGGAGTGAGAGGATCACCACGGCAAGACTGCCACGCGTGTTCCCCACCACGTACCTAACACAAGGACATATTGAGGATCGCCACGGCAAGCGAGGCAAGCGATGCAAAGAGTGGGAGGAGCAAGGAGAGAGGCAGAGAGGTACATACCATCATGGAGGACGGAGCTAGCAGCTCCACTCAACCGGGACAGCAAGGCAACTGAAGAGAGTGCGGCACGCCAAAGGGCGCAAGGAGGGAGGCAGAATGAGGCAGAGAGGTACGTACCAACAGAGCAGCGCTGCACTCCCGGTTGTGGTTCATCATGCCATCATAAGGCACTCCTGTCTCCCATGCCGCCTCACTGCAGCTAGATACCAACCATTTTCGGCATCAGCACCACTCCTGCTGTGAGCAACTCGTGTCGGGCAGAATGAGGCAGCTAGATACGTACCATCAGCTCGTGACAGGCAGGGGGCGCTGTGCTCAGCAGGGCACGTGCAGGGCAACACGAAAGGAAGGAGCGGGAGTGAAGGTCCTGGTATCTGTTGTGTTGTCGGGGTTGGGTTGTCAGTGTTGCACTGTCGGTGTTGGCGGGTTGCAGTGTGAGGAGCGCATGGGCGAGTGGGTGTGTTGGGAGCTGCAGGTCCCACCAGGGACCATACCACACCTCGCAGCCACCATGCTCACATCATGGCGCTTGCCTCTATCACCTGGGGAGGGTCCCATGGTGAGAGCACTGGCAACCAGAGGAGGAGGAGGGAGAGGTGAGAGGAGGAGGAGAGCGAGAGGGGTGTGGAAGGGTCGGTGCAGGGCGCTCCTTCTCCGCCCCTCAGCTGCACTCGTGGCTGCACCACGTGCTCCCATGCTGCTCCCCTCCCAACAACCGCACTCCCTCCAACCGCAGTCCCTCCAGTCGCACTCCCCCCAACCGCAATCCCTCCAGCAGCACTCCCAGCAGCAGAACCCGCAAGCCTTCGGCGCGAGGGGGAGTGCAGTGGTCAGCAGGGCACGCAGGGGGCAGTCACACCGCTGTGGCTGCCTGCCGTGCGTCATCCCACTGCCCTCCCACTTCGGCGCTGCAGTGCACACCCCCTTGGGCCTGGTGCAAGGGAATGGTGCGGGGAGAATAGCACTTGGGGAGGGAGATGCAGAAAGTTCGATCAAGGCATGCCAAGCCAAAGAAACGTGCGAGAACAAGCAAAAGATACGTGCACGAAATGTGAACGACTCAAAGCAAAGACCCTGTTTGCAAGAAGCAAAAGCGATAACGAGAATGCATCTTGTGAAACACGGTGCAAAGGCCAACTAACGAGAAAGGGCGATGGTAGCCCACGGCACCAGGGCATGGAGCTAGCACGCGAGGGGGACTAGGTAAGAGAGGGACGCGAGCATGAGGATGAATGCGTTTCTACCCCCTACAACTCTAGTATGAGCCCTTCCGCCCCAGTGCCATGTGCTACCATCGCCACGCGCCCATCACCCAATTTTTTTTTTTTTGTCCCTCCCATTTCTTTACCGACCGAAGCAAGCATTGACAAGCAAAGCAGCAAGCATGGACTGAGGAGAATGGAGATTGGAAAGGGATAAGTGGAAAGTTGCAGTTGCGAGGCTCGCGCCATGGATGCGGGGCCGTCTCCCTTTGTGTGCTCTGAACTCCCACCAGAAGCACTCCTAGCAGCCCCACCCGCGAGCCTTCAGCGCATGAGGGAGTGCAGTGGTCAGCAGGGCTAGCAGAGGGCGAGCAGAGGGCAGTCACACCGCTGTGGCTGCCCGCCGTGCGTCATCCCACTGCCCTCCCTCTCTTCACTCACGGGCCACACCACTTGGGAGGGGCTGCCCACTGTGGCAGGTGCTGCATAGGAGGGGCAGGGGGAGGGAAGGCAGGTGGGGAGAGGGGAAGGGGCAGGTGAAAGAGAGACGGAGGGGAAGTGAGTTCTGAAGCGAATGAGATTGAAAGCAAGGACAAACAAAAGCGATTGACGAAGGAATATGCGCAATGTACAAATATTCCCCCTGGTTGTTGCCAGATTGTCGGTCTTCAATAGTTGGTCTTGCATTGCCGCTGTTGGAGTGTTGCAGGAACGGACGGGGCGAGTGGGTGCGTGGGGAGCTGCAGGCCTCACCAGGGACCATACCAACTTACAGTGAGTGTCCACCTCCCAGTGCGAGCAGGAGAGAGAGCGAGTGAGACAAAAGACAAAATAACTACGAAGCGATAACTAACACGAAGTAAAACAGTAAGCAAGCGATTAAGCAAGTGAGTAGAAGTAAACACGAAACGAAGGAGCGGGAGTGAATGTCCTGGTATCGGCCGGGTTGTTGGTGTTGGGTTGGCAGTCTTGCAGCGTCGGTGTTGGCGGGTTGCAGTGTGAGGAGCGGATGGGCGAGTGGGTGTGTTGGGAGCTGCAGGTCCCACCAGGGACCATACCACACCTCGCAGCCACCATGCTCACATCATGGCGCTTGCCTCTATCACCTGGGGAGGGTCCCGTGGTGAGAGCACTGGCAGCCAGAGGAGGAGGAGCGACAGATGAGAGGAGGAGGGGAGCAGGACGGGTGTGAAGGCGTGTGTGCAGCGCGCTCCTCCTCGCCGTGGGTGCTCTCCGCCCCTCAGCTGCACTCGTGGCTGCACCACGTGCTCCCAGCCGCATCACTCCCTCCAACCGCACTCCCTCCAGCCGCATCACTCCCTCCAGCCGCACTCCCTCCAGCCGCACTCCCTCCAGCCGCACTCACTCCCTTCGGCCGCACTCCCTCCAGCAGCACTCTCAGCGGCGGCACCCGCAAGTCTTCAGTGCGAGGGGGGAGTGCAGTGGTCAGCAGGGCATGCAGGGGGCAGTCACACCGCTGTGGCCGCCTGCGTCATCCCACCGTCTCCCCTCCACGCAACAGGAAGGCACACAGCGAGAGGGGAGGAGGAGGAGGAGGAGGAGGAGGAGGAGGAGGAGGAGGAGGAGGAGGAGGAGGAGGAGGAGGAGGAGGAGGAGGAGGAGGAGGAGGAGGAGGAGGAGGAGGGGGAGGAGGAGGAGCAGGAGGAGGAGGGGGAGGAGGAGGAGGGGGAGGAGGAGGAGGGCGTGCCGTTGCTGCAGTTGACGTGCCGTAGCTGGTGCTGAAGCTCTTTTGCTGCTGCTCAACTGCGTGAGGAGTCTATTTTTTAGGCGCCACAAAAATAGGCTCTGTTGCTGCTGCTCAGCTGCCGTCGCAGAAACAGTTTCCTGCAGAGGAGTGGCCACGACACAGGTTCGGAGTGGAAGTAAGGATCAGGTAGAGGTGTTTCCCACGACAATTCACAAAAAACAAGTAGAAACTGGACGAAAAAGCACGAACGAGAGAACGAAAAAAGTGACGAATTTGTGTCTAAGACCCACGGCAGCAGTGCATTGGGAGGGCGTCCAAGGCTTCAAGGGGGAAGGAGTGTGAGGCACGGGCGAACCCACGGCACTTGGCGGCCATGCGAGGGGGACTGAGAGGAGAAAGAGGAGGTTCGAGAGGAGAGAAAGGGACGCGCGCATGGGAATGAATGCCAAACTACCCGCCTAGACCATGCACGCGACCGCCAAGGGCCACGGGCTTCCACGCCCTCACTTCACCACTCAACTCCAACCTCCCGTCCTCCTCTCAGCCCCCCACGCAGCAGCGCCTAGGGCCATGATAAGACAAGTATACAAGAAAGCGATGGAGACAACAAGAGGAGAAGGGTAAGAGCACTTAGCCGTTTAGGTAGGTATTCAGAGCGGATGCAGCAGCAGCGCCACCACCACCGCCAGCAGTACCAGCAGCTCAAGGTCGCTGCAGCAGCGACACCACCACCAGCAGCAGAAACGGTGGCACCGTCAGCAGCACCATCAGCAGAGCCACCACCGGCGCCAGCAGTAGCAGCAGCGGCACCACCGTCAGCAGCAGGATCATGTCGTCAGCAGCAGGACGCCGGAACACTTGATCGTCACTGGCAGAATAGGCGGAATCATCAGCAGAGCCACCACCGCCGCCAGCAGTAGCAGCAGCGGCACCACCGTCAGCAGCAGGATCATGTCGTCAGCAGCAGGATGCCGGAACACTTGATCGTCACTGGCAGAATAGGCGGAATCATCAGCAGAGCCACCACCGCCGCCAGCAGTAGCAGCAGCGGCACCTCCGTCAGCAGCAGGATCATGTCGTCAGCAGCAGGACGCCGGAACACTTGATCGTCACTGGCAGAATAGGCGGAATCATCAGCAGAGCCACCACCGCCGCCATCAGTAGCAGCTGCGGCACCACCGTCAGCAGCAGGATCGCGTCGTCAGCAGTAGGATCGCCTCGTCAGCAGTAGGATTGCCTCGCCTCGTCAGCAGCAGGATCGCGTCGTCAGGAGCAGGATGCACCGTCAGCAGCAGGATGCACCGTCAGCAGCAGGACGTCGGAAGACTTGATCGTCACCATCAGAAGCCGCCGTCACGATTGTCACCGTCAGAAACCGCCGTCGCGACCGTCGCCGTCCGGAAACGCCGTCGCGATCGTTGCCGTGGCCGCCGTCACGATCGTTACCGTCAGAAAACGCCGTCGCGATCGTCACCATCAACGAACGCCTTCGCCATCGCAACCGTGAGGAAATGGCGTCGGGATTCTCACCGTTAGAAAACGCCGTCTCGATCGTCACCGTCAGAAGACGCTGCCGTCACGACGTTTTCGCCAAGCGTTACTGTCGGCGTGGTTGTCGGCGTCAGAAAAAAATAGCCAGGTGACCAATCTGACCAGCAGCGTTGGCTTTCGAAAGAGCTCACGGAGAGCAGCTATTGATGTGTCAGGCATGTACGGTGGCGAACCTCGACGAACCATCGACGAGCCGTCATGTGGCGAACCACCTCTTTAAGACGAGACAGCGGTGAAAGTGCATCGTAAGGCGAGGCAGAGCCGCAGAAGTACAGCGACGGTCGTCGATCACCATGACGGGGTGTTCTGGATTGAGGTACTAGCGCGGAGATGAAGATTATGGTAAAAAGCAAGATGGTCGCTGGTAGTTGATAGAACAGCAGGTGACGACAGCCATGGATAGCGAGGATAGGCGGCTCATGGATTCTGAGAGTCTACGAATGAACTGCTTCGAATGAGTAGAATGGCGCTGCTCTAGAAGCTCCAGATGCCTATAATAGAGATGATCCGTTTGACTAGATTATATATGAAGATTAACGTGACGTTATGACTCTGATCTCGATTAAGCGTTAAACACAGTTACTGATTAGTGACGATATGGATTGCGAGGAAACGAGCATTCGGAATAACTGGTAGAGGATATATTAAGATAGACTAACATGAAGATTAGAGCTGTGAATGGACTAAGATTTAGAACTAATCACTGCTTGGCGATGGCATGTCAGGCGACAGCCATGGATTCCGAGGTATCGAGCCAAGCTAAGGAAAGTCTACTAGACCATGGCGAGGAGGAAGGGTATTCAGGAAAGCTAGAGAATGGATTCCAGGAAATGAGTGTTTCAGTCAGTGCAGTGAGACGGTTTCAGAGGAGCAATTGAGCGGAACGAGAGAGATTCAGAGTGGTTGATAGAGGATTCACAGAAGCAATGAGAGGAAAACGAAGGGGAAGGCGAAGCAGCAGCATGCAAGAAGCGGAGAGCTGGGGAAGAGTTGCCTTCCGCTCCAGCATTCTTGGAGCTGTCGGCAAGTCGGCGACGAGATCCCGCTCATCAAACTGCTTACCCTGGTTTGCCAAATGCGTGGGTTGAGGTTCGCAGCAGAGAAATGCTGCGCCGCGGTGAGCAAACCTCCAGAGTCCCGCTGAGCGGAAGCCGCTGTGTTTGGGCCTTCGCGCGTTTCTGTGCGCGCAAAAGCGCGATAATTGCGCAGAAGGCATAGATTCGCACCTGACAACAACCTGATTGGCGGAATGACTCTTGGAACAGCACATTCCACATGTCAGGCATCTAAGTATGGAAAGGACATTTCAACTCAATCTGACGGCTGAACACGTCCTGGTGGGAACCTTTTCCGCACATGATTGTGATTGGTTAGCCATCCCCTCTGATGTCGTACCATTCCATACCATGGCCCGAACCGCCGTTGACCTGCTTTTTGATGTGCTGTCAGTAGACCAGTTCAAATCTGTGCTGACTTCAAACATTCTGGACGAGGTGTCGGCGGTGCTTTCATTCCAGACACTGTTAGTACAGGCCAGGACTATACAAGGAGCGTTAGAACTAATCTTCCTGCCCACTCTGCTGAGTGTAGAATTGTTGCGAGCAGCCTATATCCATCGAAACCTAACATGGTGGCCTGGTGTTGTCAGGCAGTAACAAACCTGAGGCTTGGTTCACGCAGCAGGCTTGATTGGTCACCCCTGTTTCAGAAGCCACGCTCGTGCCGAATCAATCATCCCCATGTGATATGATTTTGATATCAATGAGGTTGCAATATGGTTCTACGAAAGTGCTTATGGTATGCATCACATGCAGCAAGAAATACATTTTCCAGCATCCTATGCATGACTGCCTCACAGGTCCTTCACACCTGATCGTCGTGAGGCTTCTCTACCACCTTCCCTGGGTGTTGAGGTGTGGGTGGGTGAGAGACGGTTGGTTGGGAGGTGGGTGATTGTGAGAGCGCTGATTGAGGGGTGGGTGGGTGTGAGATGGCAGTGCCGGTGATGATGGTGAAGGCGGTGGCAGCGAGGCTGAGAAGAGCGACGGACGACAGCAGCACGCGCAGAGGAAGGTACCTGGCAGGACGGGCAGGGGTGGAGGCGAGAGGACAGTGAAGGGCATGTTATTATGATGCGACATGCCAGGTACAACATGGAAGTTAGCGGCGAAGGATGGTAAGGCATGGTATGGCATGGGATGCAGCATGGCAAGAAGTAACGTACCACGAAGGGACCAATGCCATGCGCGCAAAGACAGTGTCTACACCCAACACCTGCTCACACACACGAGAGAGGAGAATGGGGAAGTGAGGACGCGAGCATGCCAGACCATGCAGCGCCTGGGGGCTGCCATGCTCATAAGGACTGCCTACTTGAGAGCAGAATGAGATTGACATGGTGGAATGGGAGTCACAAGCTGAGCTTGTGTGGACTGGAGCTTGCAAGGAGAAATGGGAGCAGGAACATTGGGGGAGGAAGGGCGCCTACAAGGAGGAAGGAGGAGAGCAGGAGGCCGAACTTGGGGCCGTCTGGCAGCAGCAGTGCCACCCACGCAGCAAGAGAAGGTGCCACACTCCACATGTAGCTGAGATAGAGGATAGGGGTGGCGAGGTGGATAGAGGTGGATAGAGGTGGATGGAAAATACTGAGAGGTAGACACACGGAGAGGGAAAGACGAATCTGAAGTTGATTCTAGAGGTTTTGGAAGTGAAGAATGCTGCACTCACCGTGCAGCCGACAGTGAGAAGTTGCCCAGGCTCGCTTCAGACGTGGCTGAGTGCGGTACGGGGGGCGAGGCAGGGACAGGAGACGAGGGCGGAGTTAAAGGCAGGGTTGGGAAAATAGGTGAATCAAGAAATGGACGGCACAATGATGGCTGACAGCAAAGAGAGAAATAGGGTAGAGATGGGCAGCAAAGAGAGAAATAGGGTAGAGATGGGCAGCAAAGAGAGAAATAGGGTAGAGATGGGCGGCAATGAGAGAAATAGGGTAGAGATGGGCGGCAATGAGAGAAAAAAAGCACTGACTGGCAGCGTAGCGCGCCATGGCAAGGCCCCAGTGCGGACCGCCCAGGAATGCGAGGATGGCCGCCCCGTAGGCTGCCTGTGCTGCTGCCGGCTGGGAAGCCAGGAGCTCCTGATTGGTGGTTCAGGGGGGATGGGAGTCGGGAAGGAAAGCAGGGGGGGGAGGGAGAGGAGTCCCAAAGGAGGTGTGACAATAGAGGAATGCCGCCCCATAGGCTGCCTGTGCTGCTGCCGGCTGGGACGCCAGGAGCTCCTGATTGGTGGTTCAGGGGGGATGGGAGTCGGGAAGGAAAGAAGGGGGGGGAGGGAGAGGAGGCCCAAAGGAGGTGTGACAATAGAGGAATGCCGCCCCGTAGGCTGCCTGTGCTGCTGCCGGCTGGGACGCCAGGAGCTCCTGTGGGGGAAGGGAGGACGGGGCAGCGGATAAACGGCGGTAGAGCAATGCGGTGAGGAAGGGAGGACGGGCGAAGAAGGGAATACTGCGAGAAGGTAAGGAAGGTAGACTGCGATAAGGACGGCACGACATGAGAGGAGGTGGAGGTGAGGGGGTTTACTCACAGGCAGAGGGATGAGGGAGCACAGGGGCGGGGCGAGGGCCACAAATGGGATGGCGCCAGCTAGACCCAGAACCAGCGGCACCAGCGGCACCGACGCTAAGCCGCTTGGCTCCCGCGTCGACTTCACGTAGATGCTCCCCCCGCCCCCCCCGCTCATCCCCCTCACGCGCACTCCTCCCCCGCCTGCCCCGCTCATCCCCGCCACTCCCCCTCTGCTTCCGCTGGTAGTCGCAGCTGCGCGGCTGTGTATCGCGGGTGGTGGCGGAAGGGATGGTGAGGGGAAAGGGGCGGCAAGGAAGTGGCGGAAGGCGGAAACGGCGCGGGGAGCGGTGCGCGGTAGGATGGCAGGGGGGACGACTGGCGACGCTGCGAAGGAGGCGACTACACGGTGGCGATTGAAAGCAAGCTCTGTGACTAGCCAACCGCCGGCTGGCGCTTGATCGATCAGGGGCGCGCACGGGTTGGCGGAAACGGGGTTTCCTGAGCGAGGCGGAGGCGATGGTAGTTGAGATGGCGGAGGGTTGCGGAAGGCGGAGAGCGGGGAAGTGGGGGAATTGCGGAAGGCGGAGAGCGGTGATGGACTCGCGTCAGCTGCGCGGGGTGCGGCGCGCCGGGCGGTACGAAAGAGCCTCAGCGCCTGCGCCATGGGGAAAACTAGTAGCCGAATAACGGCGGGGAACAACGAAAACGGCGTTCTAATTGCAATCTGTTTCGCAACTGATTAACCGACTAGCCGATCGCCACGTGGTGCGAGTCATTCACGTGCCCGACTCGTCGCCTCTACAGCGGCTGTGGGGCTAGAAGGCGCAGCCCAGCGATACTGGCCTAGATTCGTCGGATTCGCGCGTCTGCCCCTGCTCGCTAGAACAGCGAGTGCCGCGCTGTTAAAGCCAGGGTATCAAGTGCCGCAAGTGTTTTGCAGTTGCTCAGAGTCGGAAGAAGTTGATTGGAAGGCGAGGGGCGAAACAAAAAGTGAGGGAAAACGATGGTAGCGATCAGCCCAAAATTCGCAATGTCCACCCAACGTAACGAGGAAGTTTGGGAAACCGAACCGAACCAAACAATGTCCAAGCCGAGTCCGAATCTCCCCGTACCAGCAACCCAGAAACTGCAGACATGACCACACACGCTACTGGCAAAACCCAGGCGTGCCTGTTATGGTTCTTACCGCTGTCAAGAACCTACGCGGAATGCAGCCAGACACAATCAAGGAAGCGAGAAAGACTCTGAGCGTCCTCACGCCAACCGCGACGCCAAGGGCGAGTCACGATAGGACATCGTGGCAGATCGTGCAAGCCGAACCCTAACAGGTTTAGCAATCTGGTGCATTTCGCAGCTTGGTTAGAACCGTACTTATTATCACGCAGGGTAAATAGCTAAAACAAACTCCCAGGCGCGACGGTGAGCAAGTAGGCCTAAAGGACCCGGGGAATACCGTGATACCCCGGTCGAAAGCGTGAGACATGATGAGGCGAGCGCGACGGATTCCGCCTACGAAAAAGCGAAGATCGCTTGGGGCACATGGTACACTGATACTGGACGCGGATTGCGCGAAGGGAGGAATTGCGCGGAACGCGAGGGGGAATGCAGGCACACTACAGCTGTGATCCCGAGGGGTAGGACGAGTTGCGCGACGAACACCGCACGCGCCCCGCAAACCCTGCATCATATTTCGAGCGTCCCAGCCGCACATCATCCCCTGCCCCCCTTCACCCCCCCTCTCCAGACGGTGTCGCGGGCGGCTCGGAACCGCCCACACAACCTTCTTTGACCATCATGCCACGGTGGGACCATGCGAGGCCTCGACCCACGTCGTACCCTCACACCACCGACTCTGCGAATGATGCCAGGTGAGCCGCAAATACTGCGCATTCGGACAAAGGTGTAGGAGCTTGCGAGCACGGGAGCCGAGGCAAGCAGTTACCCGCAAAACCGGACACGGAAATCTTGGAGGTACCACCCTGCCTGCCCCCCTCACGGCCCTTTGGGAAGCGAATTCCTGCCCTTTCCCGTTCCTCACAGCTCCCTCACTAATGACACTCAGGCCTCCTCTCTTCCCCCACGGCTCCCACTCTCTTCCCCCACGGCTCCCCCCCGCTTTCCCCCGTCTGCCCCCGCTTTCCCCACGTCTGCCCCCGCTTTCCCCACGTCTGCCCCCGCTTTCCCCACGTCTCCCCCCCGCTTTCCCCCCGACTCCCCCCCGCTTTCCCCACGAATCCCCCCCTCTTTCCCCCGGCTTCCCCTCCCTTCCACCTCAGCCCCCCTCCCAGTCTCTCAGCCCCACCTCACTAACCTCTCAGATCCGCCTCTATATTCCTCAAAGCTCCAACACTCTGCCCCCCCGACGTCACCTCTATCTCCCCTCAGCCCCCCCTCTCTCACGCCACTTGGCTCCCCCTCTCTTCCCCCATTGCAGGGGAGGATCCCCTAAGCAGGTCTCTTCCCGACGCGGGTCCCTTGCTGGCGTTCCTCTCTTACCCCCCCAGCTTTCCCCCCCTGCTTGACCCCCAAAGCGCTTTAACGACGCTCGTCTGCGCCCCACATTCCCCACCCCAGCTCCCCTTCCTGCTCATCCCTCTCCCCCATTCCCCACCCCAGCTCCCCTTCCTGCTCATCCCTCTCCCCCATTCCCCACCCCAGCTCCCCTTCCTGCTCATCCCTCTCCCCATTCCCCACCCCAGCTCCCCTTCCTGCTCATCCCTCTCCCCCATTCCCCACCCCAGCTCCCCTTCCTGCTCATCCCTCTCCCCCATTCCCCACCCCAGCTCCCCTTCCTGCTCATCCCTCTCCCCCATTCCCCACCCCAGCTCCCCTTCCTGCTCATCCCTCTCCCCCATTCCCCACCCCAGCTCCCCTTCCTGCTCATCCCTCTCCCCCATTCCCCACCCCAGCTCCCCTTCCTGCTCATCCCTCTCCCCCATTCCCCACCCCAGCTCCCCTTCCTGCTCATCCCTCTCCCCCATTCCCCACCCCAGCTCCCCTTCCTGCTCATCCCTCTCCCCCATTCCCCACCCCAGCTCCCCTTCCTGCTCATCCCTCTCCCCCATTCCCCACCCCAGCTCCCCTTCCTGCTCCTCCCACCCCCCCTTCAGCTTAAGCGGCGTGTGTTCCACACCCACTCCCCTTGCAAGCGGAACGCCATTGACGACGTGCTGACCTCCCTCTCTGCCCTGCCCCCACTCCCTATTCGCACTACAGGCCCTGCTCACCCCGCCTTCCTTCTCACTTCCCATTCAACACTACCTTCTGTAAGTGTGTGTAAATGCCGCACCTCACTAGCATACTCGTGTGGTGTTATAGATTTCTTCATCCTTTTCCCTCACTCCCGCCCACCCCCCTCCAATGCCACACTCTCCTGTTGCACATCCGATCCACATCCAGCTGATGCCTCGTTGCACCATGGGATGGGGGTACCCACTCTCCCTCCCTTAAATGCTGATTTCTCCCACTCCCTCTCTCCACCCATCTCTTCCACACCTGCCCATGTTCCAGGAATCGGAAGGCCAAGAAGGGTACGAGCGTGGGGAACAGAAATGCTGGACTTCTCGAAGGGCGTTAGAGAGTCCAAACCCAGCTACGATGACAAGTCACAGTGAATAATGTACAACAACGGGTGCAGCAAAACCCATGACACTACCACTGGCGTTAAACCTGTTTAGAGACATCGACTAGAGTAGTAAAGGCTGTCTTGAAGAGAGCCCCTCTTGAAAAGCGTGCACACTTGAACTTTTTCCAAGCATAGTGTTAGAGTTGCTTGAAAAGTTTCTGCGATACAGGGCAGAGTCGAAGGCCATCTTGTTAAATCATATAGGTTACATATAACTGTAGGCTTGGTAGGTGTAACTGAAACCCACTGTAGAGGGTACAACCCCCTCCTTGTATCCCCCGCCTTTAACATGGTACCAGTTGCCCCTCCGGGGCCTGCTCCACACACTTCCGCTGCGTGCTCGCCATTCTCTCGCCAATTCCGTGCCGCCGTGGCGGCCATGCCGAGCTGCCATGGCGGCGTCGTCGTGCTGCCGTGGCACCGTCGACGTGCCGCTGCGGCATCAACGCTGTGCTGTGGCGGCGTCGTCGGGCAGCATCGACGCCGCGCTATGGCGGCGTCGTCATGCTGCCGTGGCGGTGTGGTCGGGCGGCAGCGGGCCCCGCAACGTTTTACGCGCTGCCAGCTCGCCCGCACATCAGCCAGCGCCGTGTCAGCCACGGCGCCTTGCTGACGCCACGCCACCTCCCCTGCACCACCCCTAGTTCCAGCCGCAGATGCTGAGTCTCTTCCCGGTCGTAGCCGGGCCGTGCCATGCCGCCAGCGCCGCGAGTTTCGCCGTCGCCGCCGCCCTCGCTACCGCCGTCGTCAACGCTACCGCCGCCATCGCCGCCGCCGTCGTCAACACTGCCGCCGCCACCGCCGCCGTTGACGCCACCCGGCGTGGGTGTCACCGCCTCTCATGAGGGGTAGCAGCCCCTCTTGCTGTAGGACCTGGGGGGTGCACGGGCTTGGGGGTGTTGGGTGTTGGGTGGGCTTGGGACTACCAAAGCTTGGGGGTGTGTTAAATCATATAGGTTATATCTAATTATAGGCTCGGTATGTGTTACTGAAACCTACTGTGTAGGGTACAACCCCCTCCTTGTATCACTCTCTTTTCCTAACCAACTATCTTGTCTCTCGACATTTTTCCATGGCTTCCTAGCGTACTTGGTTTCAGCTATGCCACCCACTATGGGGTTGGCTCACACTATCCCCTTGCCTCTCACTACAGTTTTTGTGTCCACTACAGCAATGCTTCCCATTATGGATTTGCAGATGCCTTACCTCGATCATGGCACGACATTCGGAACCAAGATGCGACCATGGTCCCTTAGGAGGGGTGTGGTCGCATGGCAGAGTTGCAAGGTATCGTGATGCGCGTTGTTATGTGTCGTGTGGGCTCGGCCAAATGTTCAACACGCATGGGCGACGTCGCGCACCAACGAGTGTCCTCCTTCTCTGTCGCCCTTTTGTTTCACCCACTATGATCTGCCCTCAAAATAATCTGCATTATCTTTCTCGGTTGTAAAAAGTAAACAGGATTCAGGAACGCCCTGGGTTTGCCTTTTTAGGCCATGGCTTTAGCGGTTGTTTTCTGAGTGGCGCAAACATGCGATGATGCGCCGCAGAATGCATGGGCGCAGCAAAAGGCGCCCAACCCACAAGTAAAGGCTTGTAAATGATGGGCAAGGGGAGCCAGCATTCTGGGGCATGACGTGGAGAACCAGGGATGCAGATACCACAACAGGAGCTGCACACCACACAATTAGAAAAGAGGGGGGGGGGGGGGTTGGAAGACATGAGCATAGAGTAGTAACCCCAATACCATAGTACCAAGAAGAGGCAAATAATAGGAACAAGAAAGTTTCCGACGACAACACCAGATTGGGAAGAGGGGAAGAAGTGGGGGAAGGGGCTCGGTGGCAACTGTGTGTGACATGCGTGGCGCGCACCTAACGAATCTCATCATGGCCCCTGGCGAGCCTGGACGCGGGGGCAGCAGGCACCCCAATGCTGTGGTCATAATCGCGAAGCCTGTAATTCCATGGACAGGAGGGTTGGGAGGGACGAACAAACGTGGGGGGCAGGAAAGTGTGCAAGGGCAGGGGGGGAAGGGAATGGAGCCACAAACCAACGCATATGACGGGCTAGATGAGCCCAAAAGCGGTACGGGGTGGTTTGGCCAGTACACAACTAGAACCCTACTTACCGGATTGGTACATGTCGCGTCCGCCTTTGGTGTGCGCGCAAACCCGTCTGGGTAGACACCCCATTATCTGAGGTTCGTGAGATCACCTGCAGCGAGGGATGTGGTACAACAAAGGCAAGAACAACTCACGCCGGCAGTAACGCAGATCTCAGTGAAGGTAACAGCGCAAGAGGTGAATGCTTGATGAGGA